AGGGAATGGACGTCCGAGCGATGCCCAGAGGGGCGGAAGGTCGGGCAGCGCACGTCGCTCGAGGTGCCTGCGGGCAGCACTCTGAGCCATTCGCTTCTTGCGGCCGCCGCCCCCGCCAGCGAACGGCGCACATCGAAACGCTCGCCTGCGGACGAGCGCGGGCTGGCACGCCCCCACAGATCAAGGCGCGAGCAGCAGAGGGGGCGTCGGGCGCCGCTGCTGGTTCTCGGGCTTGAGGTTTTCGAGGTTGGAGGTCTTCGGACGTTTTCGGCGGCCTTCCGGCCGCTGGAAGGCGTGCGCCTCGCCGAGAACCTGCCGGACCGACCCGAGCGGCCGCCGGAGGCCAAGGAGCTATGACGCGAAAACCATGAAGGGACCGGCTGAGGGCGGGGGGGGGGAACATCGAGTTGGAATCCGCGATGCATCGACGAGATAGGCCGGCGATCCATGGACGATCGGGGCATGGTGCAACCCCCCCCTGAGCCTCTCTCCGTCCCTGGCGGCTTCGGGGCCATAGCTCTCCGACGGCCGTCGCTCGGGACGACCTGGGCACCCCTGGAACGCCCTCGGCGAAGCGCAGCTGTTGGAAGGCCCCCCGAGGCTGGAAAGCCCACACGAGAACCGAGGAGAACGCCCTCGAACCTCGAACCTCGATGACTTGCGCCTCCCAAGTCTGCCCCTGACCAGGAGCCAAACATCCATCCATGGACCTCGCCTGGAGAGGCCCCGATGGCGCCCCCAGGCGACCCATCACCCCAGAAACGCGAACCTCGCTCCTCGCACGGAGGCCCACGAGGACCCCAGAGCTTCGGACCCACGCCCTCGAACGAGAGCGCCCGAGAACCTCGAGGCACCAACCCCCTGAGCCCCTGACGTTGCCCCCCGGCCCTGACCGCTCCGATCGCGCTCGCGCGGGCGGCGCGCCGGGCGGGCCCGGAGGGCGGGGTCCTTCGCGGCGTCGGCGGGCGGTGGGCGGCCCAGCTCGTCATGAGCCCGCCTCCGATCGCGGGCCGGACGACGGGGGGGGGGATCTCATCGGGTCGGGCGAAAGGGGGGGATTGGGAAAGGGGGGGGGTACGAAATTTGCTGCATGCAGCTGGTTCCGGCCTCACCGAGGGGCCCATTCCTCGATACATAGCCGCCTCCGGCGCCGGGAGGCGCCGGGAAAATCAGCTACGTGAGCTGATTCTCAAACCCCCTCTTTGCTATCCCCCCCTTTCGCCCGACCCGAATCTCATCGGCCACGCGCAGAGGGGGGGGGTTGTAAGGCGAGGCGTTCTAAGAAGCGCCCCTGCCTCGTAGAAGGCGCGGGCCTTTACACCTATTAGGTCGGCCCACGCGCAAAGGGGGGGTTGTAAGGCGAGGCGTTCTAAGAAGCGCCCCTGCCTCTCAGAAGGCGCGGGCCTTACACCTATAAATTTCGGCTGGCGCTTTCGAAGAAGCAGCCTCCCAAGGAGCCTTCCCCCCGCCCCCAACCCCCTTGTGCGCGTCGCCAATGAAAGCGAGGGAGGCGTTGTTTGTCCCGTTTTCCACTTTGCGCTCGTCGGACTACCAACACGTTCTAAAAAACGGTCGCCCTGGAACGTGGGCATCGGGCAGGCGGCATTGTGATACTTCACGTTCTAAAAAACGGTCGCCCTGGAACGTGGGCATCGGGCAGGCGGCATTTTTTGATACTTCAGAACGTAATGAGAGCGTAGTGAGAACGGGAAGAAGACGTCGATCTTGAAAACGGAAATCTATTTCCCCAGCGTTTGCAAGATCGTAATGGGGGGTACGGTCAAGATGTTGAGATGCGGATCGCTTGGGATTCAGGCGGGGCTCCCAAATGGTGTTGGAGCAGATGGGGTCGTAGGATTGGGCCCTTCGCCGATGCGTCGGCGATGCGGATCGGTGTGGAGCCCTATTTCCTCCACGCCGACGTCACCGAAGCATCGGCGACGTCGTCGAGTATCAGGCATCGGCGAACTCGTTTCAGGAGGGGAAGAAACACACAGACACAATTAATCGTCGATCCCCAGGAAAATATGGGAAAATATGGAAAGTGGGGGGGAAGACAGAAACCCCGAAAATATGGGAAAATATGGGGACTATTTTTATTTGTGTGTATTTATTTGTGTGTCCTGGGGGCCCTTCATGATTAATCGCATGTGGATCGGTGATGCATCGGTGATGCGGCGCGAGGCGCCGACCCCATCTGCTCCGACCCCATCTGGGAGTCTTCTAGCTCAGCAGGGGTTATGGTGCTCGGGCCGCTCCCTACATCTACACCTTAGGCGATGCTCAAGAAAACCCAACTTTTCGGCCAGAGTCTCGATTATTCTTAAGTTTTCAATGTAAATCCCACGAGGTTGATAGAAATGTTGGGTTTTTATTGAAGTTCTGAGACTATGAATTTCTTAACCCATGGTTTCTTAAGCATTTCGCAGGGTGTAGGTCGAGGGGCCCTTTCGTGGCCGAGTCTTCCCGTGGCCAGACGAGAGCCCCCTTGGTTCCTTTTTCAGCGCGCCCCGAGCAATGTAGCACAACGACTGTGGGTAAGGAGGGGCTCACGAACTCTGCTGCGCACTGGTTTCGGCCCCACCGCCGGGGGCTTTCCTCGACGCATTGGCGCCTCGGGCTCTGGGAGGCGCTGGCGAAACATCGGCTGGGTGAGCTAGTTCGCCACCCCCCCTTTCCTGCCCCCCCCCTTTGTCGTCAGACCCGCCCATCGAGAATGAGCGAAACATTGCCTGACACGACGTTGGCTCGGAGGTTGATAGAACCCCTGCTCTGTCAGGTCCGTGACCGAGTCTTGCCCTTGTCTCTCGGTCGCCGGGAGGGCGCTGCGGCCGCCTGCCGGGGCCGGTCCAGGCAGTCTTCGGTAAGGGCGAATAGCGCAGGCGGCGGCGGCAATACACCTTAGGCGATGCTTAAGAAAACTTAAGTTTTCGTCCAGAGTCTCGATTATTCTTAACTTTTCAATGTGAATCCTACGATTTGCACGGAAATTTTGGGTTTTTACTCAAGTTCTGAGACCATGAATTTCTTAACCCATGATTTCTTAAGCATTTCGCGGGGTGTACACGTATCGGGTGGCGCTGACGGTCCATGTCTTCGGCGAGGGCCTTCCTGGCGAGTGCGTGTGGAAGGCCCGCTCCTGGGCGTCACTCGCCCCCGTCGTCACCTCCGACCTGCGGAGTGGGGGTGCTGTCCACTCCCGACTCGGAGGTCCGCGCGGATTCTTGGGTCGGCGGTGGGCCTCCTCCCCCACACCCGTGGCGTCGCCTCAAGGGAGTGCTCGGCGCGCCGGGGCAGGTGTGTGTGTGTGTGCGTGTGTGCGTGTGTGCGTGCGTGTGCGTGTGCGTGTGCGTGTGCGCGTGCGTGTCTCTCTCTCTCTCTCTCTCACTCTCTCTGTCTGTGTGCACGTGTGCGTGTGTGCGTGTGTGTGTGTGTCTGGCGGGGGAGGGGAGGGGGGCGCAGCTCCGACTCAAATCCGCGCGAACCTCTGCCTTCAACGGCTGATGTTGATTAGGATGCAGCGCCTGGGAGGTTACATTCAGCATCGGCGTCTGGTCTACCCGTGGCCGAAAACCGGCATCATCCTTCATGATCCCGCCTTGTTCGGCTGCGTCCCGCTTAGTCCCGAGCTCCCTCTGGCCTGATCCGGCGCCGTGGCCCCTCCATCGGTTGGGCGTTGCGTAATGGGGGGGTCATAAATGGGGGGGTGGCGAGGGTGGTCCGAAAAGGTACCCAAACGGTACCTAAACGAGCCCCCTGGGGCTCCGGAGGGGCCCGAAAGGGGCACGAAAGGGGACCGTTTCTGACCCCCCCATTAAGCCACGCCCAACGGGCTGATTCGTTCCTAACCGTTCTGACGAAGACCTCCCAGGAGTTGCCCCCGAATGCCGAGGTAGCTCTGGAGCGCTCTCGCCTCGAGCCGTCGGGCGATGGGCGCCCGTGCCTGCCAGAGCCCGTCTCGGGACAGGCACGCAGGCCCAGGCTACACCCTAGGCGATGCTTAAGAAAACCTCAGTTTTCGTCCAGAGTCTCGATTATTCTTAATTTTTCAATCTAAATCCTAAGATTTTGATAGAAGTTCTGGGTTTTATTCAATTTCTGAAACTCTGAGTTTCTTAACCCATGATTTCTTAAGCATTTCGCAGGGTGTATACCAAGGCAGCTCGGCAGGCGCGCGCGGTGTGTCTGAGTGCGCGAGGCGCCGCGCAGACCTGCCGGAGCTCCCGGCGTCCGACGGGCCCGCAGGCTGCCAGGCAGCTCGGCAGGCGCGCACGAGGCCGAGCGCGCGAGGCACTGCGCGGCTCACGCTCGAAGAAGGCACGGCTGCAGAGGAGCAGCACCTCTTGGAGCTCCGCGCGGATGCCTTGGATCGGAGCTTGGGGTCCCCCAGGTGGCGCCGCCCTCGGCGAGCTCCGCGCGCCAGGAAGGGGGCTTCGGCGCAGATCCAAGGAGTCCGCGCGGACCGTCGAAAGGTCATGCGTATCCAGCTGTGTCTTCCTCTTAGACGCCGACAGGAGGGATTCCTGATCGGAGAGCCGGGCAGTCTGGGCTGGCGGACTAAAAAAACATCAGCGGACATCCCCGCAAACTTCCAGCTTCCAGAAGATATGTGTGGTGGAGGCCAAGCATGGTGTAAACAAATTAACTACCTGGTGCAAGCTGGGTGGACCAAGCTATGCGGTACAAGCTGTGTGGTGCAGACAGTCGTAGTAGTAGTAGCTGTAGTAGCTGTAGTAGCTGTAGTAGTAGTAGTAGTAGTAGTAGTAGCAGAAGAAGAAGTAGTAGTAGAAGTAGTAGTAGAAGTAGTCGTAGTAGTAGTAGTAGTAGTAGTAGTAGTAATAGTAGTAGTAGTAGTAGTAGTAGTAGTAATAGTCGTAGTAGTAGTAATAGTCGTAGTAGTTGTAGTTGTAGTTGTAGTATGCGTAGTAGTCGTAGTAGTAGTTGCAGCAATAGTAGAAATAGTAGCAGTCGCCCTCGAACTGGTAGTAGTAGTAGTAGTAGTAGTACTACTACTACTACTACTACTACTACTCGTACTAGGCGTAGTAGTAGGGGCAGTAGTAGTAGTAGTAGTAGTATTACAATTAGTGGTAGTAGTAGTAGTAGTAGAAGTAGTAGTAGTAGTGGTAGTAGTAGTAGTACTACTACTACTACTACTACTACTACTACTACTAGTTTTAGTTGTAGTCCTAGTAATAGTAGTCGTAGCAGTAGTAGTAGTAGTAGTAGTAGTAGAAGTAGAAGTCGTAGTAAAAATATGTTAGTACTCGGAGTAGTGGTAGCAGAAGTCGTAGTAGTAGTACTAGTAGTAGTAGTAGTAGTAGTAGTAGTAGTAGTAATAGTCGTAGTCGTAGTCGTAGTCGTAGTCGTAGTGGTAGTCGTAGTCGTAGTCGTAGTCGTAGTATTCGTCGTAGCAGTAGTAGTATCAGTAGTCTTACAGTTAGTAGTGGTAGTAGTAGCAGTCGTAGGATCAGTAGTTGTTGTTGTAGTCGTAGTAGTTGCAGCAGTAATTGTAGTAGTAGTAGTAGTCGTCGTAGTAGTAGTAGTAGTAGTAATAGGAGGAGGAGGAGGAGTAGTAGTTGTTGTAGTTGTAGTTGTAGTTGTAGTTGTAGTTGTAGTTGTAGTTGTAGTTGTAGTTGTAGTTGTAGTTGTAGTAGTAGTAGTAGTAGTAGTAGTAGTGATAGTAGTAGTAGTAGTAGTAGGAGGAGGAGGAGTAGTTGTACTTGTAGTTGTAGTTGTAGTTGTAGTAGTAGTAGTAGTAGTAGTAGTAGTAGTAGTAGTAGTAGTAGTAGTAGTAGTAGTAGTAGTAGTAGTAGTAGTAGTAGTAGTAGTAGTAGTAGTAGTAGTAGTAGTAGTATTTGTAGTGAGGATGGGGAGGCAGTTATTTCCTTAGCTCAAAGCGCTAAACACTGCCCACCTCTCTCTTGCACGCAATCGCCAGCGGATGAGCCACGGTACCATCGCATCACTGGGCAACCGGCCGTTTGAAAATCGGTCGCCAGCGGCTTTGGTGCTCAATGTGCTCCGCCATTAGGGTGCACATTTAGATCTGCTGCGCATGGCAATTGTCGGTAGAGCGGCTTTTTGCAAATTCGGACGTGTCGGCGATCTTCAACGGCGCCGCATATCCTTACTCTCCTTGGCAGCGTCTCAGGTGTTTCCACGTCTGCCTTCGGCTATCCTTCTCCTTGGTTGGGCCAAAATCATGTCGCGAGTATTGTTATTGGTGCTGCATCAATGTATTGATACTTAGTTTCGCCTGGATTTGCAGGTCGGCAGTGTTTTCACGGTGATACCTTTAGAAATTGGAGGGCATCCCCACAATGCGATTAGGCTCCAAGCTCTCATCAGGCGCGTATGCCAGGTCGGATGGGGGTAACCGCTCGGACAGGAGCCCCCTCGGGATCCGACAACTCGCATTCATATAATCTAAATTGATAGTAAGGATGAGCGACTTTCCCACGGGTATTATTGCATCCTTGCGTCTTCGGACCATTCTTAAACACTTTCGATAGCCAGCCAATCTCGAAAAGCTTCGACCTGCGCGTCCAAGGGGGCTTGCATCCCTCTCGCGCATCCCTGCTGTCAGTTTTGACGGTACCCATCGCCTTCGTCGCCTCGCCCCTCCCCATCCCTTCGTCCTCCCTACAGTGGTTCGAAAGGTGTGTTGCTCCTCCTCCTCCTCCTCCGCCTCCTCCTCCCCCTTCCCCTCCCTCTCCCACTCTCCCTCCTCCTCCTCCTCCTCATCTTCCTCCTCCTCCTCCTCCCCGTCCTCCTCGTGCTCCTCCTCCTCCTCCTCCTCCTCCTCCTCCTCCTCCTCCTCCTCCTCCTCCTCCTCCTCCTCCTCCTCCTCCTCTACGGGTGCGCCGAGAGGCGGGCGGCGCGCGTGCGCGTGGCGGGCTGCCGAGCTGGCAGCCCAGCGGGCGCGCCGGCGGGCGCCGCGCCACAGCGCGGGCGCACGGGCGACCACGCGCGAGCTCCGAGGGCAGCGAGCCCCGCGGCAGCGCCGCCGCCCGGCGGCCCTGCCGCTCGGGGCTCGCTCGAGTCCTGGTCGTCCTGGCAGGGGCTTCGAGGAGCTCCCTGCGGTCGTCACAGGAGCGCGCTCCACGACTCTCAGGAGGGAAAGAAACACACAGACACAATTAATCGACGATCCCCCGGAAAATATGGGAAAATATGGGAAGTGGGGGGGAAGACAAAAACCCAGAAAATGTAGGAAAATATGGGGAATCTTTTTATTTGTGTGTATTTATTTGTGTGTCCCAGTTTCCCTTCATCGAGTCCTGGTCGTCCTGGCAGGGGCTTCGAGGAGCTCCCTGCGGTCGTCACAGGAGCGCGCTCCACGACTCGCAAAGTGCCTGCTCGCGGATGTTCGAAAAGAAGGGTTCGCCTCGATGCGACGTGTCGTAGATCTCCCGCGGCAGATCCAGGCCATTTGCGAGTGGCTATATCAGGCATTCTGCGAGTAGTGGAGCGCGCTTGTCTAGATCGGGCCGCCGTGCAGAACTACGGCACAGAGCCGAAATGCCAAGTCAGATTAAATCTTGCCTGACCTGTTTCTGAGAGGTATGGCTGGGTTGGTGTATCGGCCTGCGGGCCTCGTGGGCGCACCGCAGCGTCTCAGCTGGGCCTCGGTTGCAAATCATAGGAGACGTGTGTGTGTCTTCTGGATTCCGTTTTTTATAAGTATGTTCACGTGCGCCAGCGTGTGATAATATATGAGACAGCGCCGATCGCCTCCAGAAGCGTCGATTGAGCGTCGATTCGCAAGGGCCAACAGAGGCTCCCATGAACTTCCGCAGAAGGTGCGCGCTGGCAGATGAATCTAAGCCAACGTGGTTAGCGCTGCCGTCCGACAGCCCTGCCGCCCGAGAGCCGTGCCGCCCGACGGCCGTGCTGCTGGGGTTCGTCGTGGTGCTATCGGTGAGCAAGCGTCTGCTGTTTTGGATCGAGTCTCAAGCAAAGAAGAGGAGAAGAGGCTATCCGATGCCTCTTGGACTCTATTGCGAGGCATCCGGGACCTCTGCGGGGCGGCTGCGCCGCATCTGTGGAACCTGCGGAGGCGTCTTGAGAGCCACTTCGAAAGTCATGTGGCCGCGTTGTTCTATTCTGGTGCCTTGTGGGGCCATGATAGAGCGATTATTTGTGTTGGATCGAATTTCGAGCGAAGAAACAACGGGCAACGCGTATCGCCAAGAATCCCAGCGCGCGAAGAGGCACCGCAACCCGTGTCAACGTGCCCTTGTCGCACTATCCGGGAACAGCTCCGCATGGCACGGCGTGCGCGGTGCTTTCGGCATAAGGAGCGGTCCAGGGCAGCAAAGCAAGCTGCAGGTGACGCCCTGAAGATTGCAGATGTGGCGCACAGCCAGCTGATGGCTGCGGACGACGACATCGATGCTGGCGCGGCTGGTCGCTCAGAGTCGGGGGGAGGCTTTGATGTTGTGCCCGCCCTTGCACCAGCAGCACGCGCCCAGGCACAAGCAACGTCACCTCTGCAACCAGATGGGGATATCGCACGGCAACTTCCTCCATCAGGGCTTGGGCACTTTGGTGGAGCGGCAACATCAGACCGTGAGTCGTCTGGATCCGCTCATACGCTGTGTGCGTCAGCGGTTTCCTGCATTCTTTCTGTGGTTCAGTGACGCATTCGACAGGAAATCGCCGCCGTGGGCCTTACGCGGCTGCGCCTCAACAGCCAGGCGACCCTCGTGGCAAGGGGCCTGGATGCAAAGGCCGTGGCAAGTTCAGCGGTCAGCTCGGATGGCGCTTGCAGCTCCAGCTTGACAGAACAACACTGTTCAGTACTGCATGTCGCTGAAGTCTTGAGGCGGGAGACGTGTGCCTTCGACGCTTGCTCATCATCGTCCGATATCCTGATTTCGGACCCCTGGCGCCCGCAGTCTCGGACACCCACTTTGAGTTTTACACTGGCAAGCTTGACCAGCGTTCCCGGAATCGACCTGGCGCCACCTCTTCTGAACCCAATGTATCACAGAGGCAGGCTCAGCCAACTTGTTTTTTTCTGTGGCTGGGCAGCCCCCAGTCTTTCTCACTAGAGGCGCTTCGCCCCCTGGAGGCTCGTCGGGCCCAGTTGCCGACGGTGAAGCAGCGAACGAGCATGTTCGACGATGGGACCAGAGGCTTCAGCGCAGAGATGCAGTGCATAATGATTTCCTATATATATATGAGAGAGAGAGAGTAAGAGAGAGAGAGAGAGAGAGAGAGAGAAAGACAAAAAAAAAAAAAAAAAACCTATCGACTCCAAGTATACACGTGAGGGCAATGTCCAGGATGGCCTCCGCATCCAAAAGAGCGCTACTCCGATCGGGGGCTTAGTGGCCATGGGCAGCGCTAGGGACGGGATAGGCCTAACTAGGGGGGACGCATCCACCCCGAATCACTCACTCATCGCTGATAGGGGCCCGATAGCGCCACCCCGCTGAGGACCATGCGGGATCGCCAGCGGGGGCCTCGCCGATCTATCGGCGATGTACCGCCGATTCCAGGTTGGTCCTCCCCCCCCCTCCGAGCCAGTCCCCGGGTGGTTTTCAGGTTACGACTTTGGCTTGTGGTGGCCGTTCGGGACGATCCGGGCGCCCCCGGAACGCTCTCTGCGAGGTGCAGCCGCTGCAAGGTACCCCGAGGCTGGAAAGCCGCTGAGCACCAGCGAAGACGTCTGAAACTTTCAAGGTGGTAAAGGGGATGGGGGGGGAGCGTTCCGCTGTTTCTTTTCACGCGCGCCTTCACGTGCGCAAGAACTCTTGTGGCTTGCTTCGCTCGGACGTCCTTTCCCCGTGCATTGTCGTGCGTGTTTGATTGCTAAGACGGTCCCAGACGTTCCAAGATGGTCCAGATGTCCCGGCGCTGGCCTTGCCGAACAAAATGCGCGCGTCCGAGCGATGCCAAGGTTGGAAGCCACACCTTCACCCAGAGTTGGCGGAGCGCAAGCCAGACGGGGTGAGGGGGAGGCCTTGTACGGGAGCAGGGTGGTTCTGGCAAGGTCCTGGCCTGGGCCCCTGGGAGGCGGGATGCCCTCCTCGAGAGGGACAGACGGCTCAGCCACACACGCTCGGAGCCCTTAGGGATCTCTCAGATCGGCGCTGGGCTGTCCTGGCGGTGCCTCCGGCGCCGCCCCTGGCAGAAGAGGGAGGTTGTCTGTGGCGGCCGGCGTGCGCGCGTGCAGGTGGGGCCCGAGCGTGAATCCGCCCCCCCTCGGGGGAGCTGAGGCCCACGTCGGCTCGCCTCTACTGGATCGGGGCCCGCTTCTCCTCCTCTTCCTCCAACTCCTCCTCCTCCTCCTCCTCCTCCTCCTCCTCCTCCTCCTCCTCCTCCTCCTCCTCCTCCTCCTCCTTTTCCCTCTCCTCCTAGCCGCTCTGGCACAGGCAACTGTGATGGTTGGCATCCACTTCAGAGCGGCACATGGTGCTAACGAGCCAACCTGGCACGATTCTCTCAGCGCCATGGCCCCGTTCAAGCCCATGCCGTGGGGGCCGACCCCAGCCTGGGCTCATGGGTTTGCCTACGCGCCGCAGTGGCCACAGTGGGGCGCCCCGCCGTATCCTGGTGCACACCCTGGTGTTCCTGGCTACTGTGACGACGGCGGTCCTGCGGGTCGCTGGACATGTACATTCCCTGATTGTCGGTGCAAGAAGAACGACTCCCGCGCCAATGCTTGCAAGCACTGTGAGCGGCCGAGAGGTGCTACTCCAGGGACGGCGCCTCCAGGCTCTTGGACAGGGGGTCCGTCATCAGCGCAGCGACAAGGCGACTTTCCTCCTCTTCAAGCGGCTTCTGGTGGACAGCCGCCCAAGGCTGGGCCACAGTCGCAGAAATATGACACGTATTCGGTGGACGAGCTGCAGCAGCTCATTGACATCGCAAATAAGCACAACGACACAGCCAACGTGGGTTTCTACAAGTCGGCCCTCGAGCGACGCCAAGCAAAAGATCGTCCTGCACCTCCGAAGCCTCTTCAGCGACAGGTCAATGATGCGCATCAGGCCCTCAAGATCACTGAACGCAGGCTCGAGAAGGCACTGGGCGAGTTGGATTCGGCACGCACATGGGTCACAAAGAAGCACGAAGATGTGGTCAAGCTCAAGGCAGAGTTGGCAGAGAAGGACCGCATCCACACTGACCTCGCTGGCCAGCTACATTCTACCGTGTGTAAGAAGCCCCAGCAGCAGGCCAACAGCACGGCGACGCAGATCAATGTACGCGACCTTCTCGAGGGGCGGTTGTCGGAGATCAGCATCGTTGGTGGCGACGAATTGTTGGGCATCCCGTCGGCAGAGTACGATTTCAGTTCGGAAGATATCACTTTATTGCAGGGCAAGCAGAAGGAGCTCCTGGCTGGAGCGCAGGAGCTGGCCAGCACGCTGCACGCCGACCTCATCAAGATTATCGGCACGGCGAAGCAAGAGTACAGGGGGAACCTCTCGAGGCTCTCGCGCAAGAAGCGCAAGGTCGAGGACGGCGCCGCTCCTGGAGGAGGCGAAGGGGACGCGCTTGCCGCTGCTGGCGGCGGAGGCGCCCCAGGTGCTGCCGCGGCAGCAGCAGCCCAGGCAGCTCCGCAGGACGCCGCCGCGGCCGCCAACCTCCGTGAGCGCGCCGCCCGAGTTGCTGCCCAGGCCCCTGAGTCACAGGGATCCCCCCCCCCCCCCCGAGCCATCGACATGAGCTCGGAGGGGGGGGGGGGGGGGCATGCCAAGTGAGCGCAGTTAAGCTTTTCCAGCAGCATAGCCCCGCGCGGGGGCAAACTTTTTACCATGCGCAGCCTGGCCAGTCCAACATGACCCAGTGTAATGGTGTCCTCAGAGCCCCGGCCCACCCAGGCCCTGACGATTTTGAGTTACTTTTTGAGACCAGTAACACCGGCAGTTGGACGTCGGCCAAGCCCTGGCTTTAAAAAAACCCCGCTCATATAACTTTAGTTCAGGAGCATCACTTAGCAAATCAGGCCGCGGTTGATGAAGCTTCGTCTTGGTGTCGTCGCCACGGCTGGCTCGCTCGAATTACTCCTGCCCTGGTCACGCCCGATGGGGGCTCGTCTGGCGGCGCGGCGATTTTGGTTCGAGATTGGCTAGGCTGTTACGACATCACTAAGGGACCAGAGCTCTACCCAGGCCGAGTGACGGCCTGTTGGGTGCAAGTACCTGGCGGCGTCACCATTTTGCGTTGCTCCATCTACCTCGAGGACTCCGAAGGGTTCTCTGAACTCAACCTTGGCGTTTTAGCCAAACCCGGTTCCCTCCTCAACTCCTGCCCCCCCCCCCCCCTTCCCCCCCCCCTGCATCGTGGGGGGGGGGGGGGGGGGGGTAATATGCCCCCGCCCGAGCTCGCCGAGTGTGATTTCGCGGCGGGCCTTTCAGCCAACATTGCGTACCCACCCAACCCCATCTCCTGCACTAGCACGGCTGCGGGAGGTGGATCCATGCTCGACTATTTTGCCTGTAGCCCAGGGCTCGGGAAAAGGGTCGCTGGTACTTCGGTCGTGTTGAATGCGGACAGTCGCCCCCATCGGCCCGTCCGAGTCAGGTTCCACCAGTCCATCGCGGACCTTCAGGTCCTCACTTTTGCGCGCCCCCCCCCCCCCCCCCCCGATCCTTGGACCCATCCCCGTCGGGCCCTTCCCCGAACCAGCCTGCTGGCAGGGTGCGCTGGACTGTGCCGAGCACGCCCTTGCCTTGGTTCGTTCGGGGGCGCCCAAATCGTCCATCCAGCGTCATGTTAGTTGGTTATATAAGCTCTGGGCCAATAAAACTGAAGAGGAGCTTGAGGCTGCGTGCCAGATGGCTCTGCCGATCCGATGAACTCGAGGCAAGGTTCCCAAGCTCGCGTGGAAGTCGGTGCTCGCCCAAGACCGCAGCCGCAAGCCCAGGCAGTCGGCACTCTACGCTCTCAGGTGGCTCGAGGGCAGGTTGAGGATGTTCATTGTCTGCGCTAGCACGGACCGCTGGTGCCAGGCCAGGGGGGCATCTCCAAAGTGTCGTTTTCGCCCCCCCCAATGACATCAGTGATCATTTGGTTTTGTTTCAGAACCTGGCCCAGCGAGTCAAAGATCTTGTGAAGCTTATTTTTGTTGGCGCCACTGGCTTCGGAGAGCTGTGGCAGGCTGCGGGCCACGATGCCCCTGCTGCCGTGAGCGAGGCTCTCGGCACCTACTCTGCCACTGCCAGGGCCGAGGCTGCCGCTATTGGGAAGGAGTGGCTTGGACCCCCACCCGCACCGTCTCCTCCAAAGGTGAGGTTTTAGCGGGCCCCAAGAGTCTGTTGCAGACTGAATGCGCCCGTTTCTCCGGGCTTTGGAGGGCCCAGGAGGCCCCCTTCCACCCCAAGCAGGGATACGTCAAGTTATTGGAACCCCTAGAGTGGCTTGAACCCGACCGCATACGGCAGGCCCCAAGGTCTTACAAGCCTGCCTCAGCCGCCGGAGTCGACGGGTTTCACTTGCGGCATTTCCAGGCTCTTAGTGACGATGCCCTCCATGTTTTGATGACCCTCTGGTCGGTTCTGGAAAGCACTGGTGTGATTCCGAAGCAGGTTCGCATTTTGAGTTTGGCCCTTCTTGAAAAACCGACTGGGGGATGGAGGCCGATCGGCATCTTTGCTGGCTTTTACAGGCTATGGGGAAGGCTGCGGCGGCCCATCCTCCAGGCCTGGGAGACCAGCGTGCACAGGCCATACCTTGCTGCCTCGGCATTTGCTGGAGCAGGGGACGTAGTGTGGCGGCAGGCACTCCGATCGGAGACTGCTGTGACAAATTCGCAGGCGTCTTGCAGCTTGCTTTGGGACTTCCACAAATTATTCGAAACCATCTGCCTCGATTAGCTCAAGGAACGCTGCAGGCACCTGGGCTTCCCGCCGCAGATTGCCTACGTCTGCCTCAACATGTATGCAAGACCGCGTTCTATCATGTAGGGCACGATGGTCCAAGGACCATTTGTTGCTCTTAGAAGTGTCATAGCAGGATGCTCGGCCGCCACCAGCTCTTTGCGTGTTTTTGTCATCCCGTCCCTCGATCTTTTACCCCCGAGAGTGCAGCGTTGCCTCGATGACATTGACGATTACGGCTGTTCTGTTCAGGCTCGCCCCTGTTCGATCGTTAATGTCGTCGTCGAAGCCGCCGCTGAGCTTCGCCATGTTATCACGGAAGATATGGATTGCACCATCTCCTTCGATAGGCTTCTCTTGTTTGTTCTTCCTCCCCACACGGCGTTCGCATTAAGAAACTGTTGGGCCCATTGGCTGGACAGCCAAAGGCCACTGATGTGAATCTGGGCGTTGATGAGGCGGCGGGAATGGGGGGGAGAGGCGGCAGGAGAGGAAACAAGCGCGCTAAAAGGCGCCGTATCTTTAAACAGCGGCAAGCGAGGTTCCAGCGGTGCAAGGCCATGCTTGGTCGACACACGTGCCGCATTTTTAGCACTGGCCCGCTTGCAGGATTGAATTATGACGCTGACACCCATGGTATTTCAGACTACGAACTTGCCTGCGCCCGAAGAGCCTCAGGTGCCACCCTGAAGCCGTCCTCGGGCCAGCGTTCCCTCACCCCCCTCCTTATCCTCTACCAGGGCCCCACGTGGAGGGCCGCTGTGGCCCCGATCGTTCGGTTTTCGAAAGAGGTTTGGGGGGCCCAGTCGAGGTTGTCTGACCATGCGTTGCCCTTGTCTGTGCTGGGTGCGGCTTGGAAAACTAGCTTCGTTGTCCACCCCGCTCCCATCTGGCGTCAGGTTCGAGGCCCAGCAGGCCATGCGTTTATCTTTTGCTAGGATCGGATGGCAGATGCCACCTTGGCACACCCTCGTCAACGATTTCGATGACGAGATCCCGCTCACGACTACGTCGCCAGCTCTCGTGGCCGATCTTTTGTTTGAGGGGGTCACCCGCTCGCACCAGAGGGCGGTGGGCGACAAGATAGGGAGTGGGAGGAAGTGCTTTGACGTCGTGGCCTCAGAGTTGCGCCGCTCGGCTCACAAGCCGCGCGATCGTGGAGTGATCAGGGCGATCGCCTGCGATGGCGCTTGGACTAAGGACCGCGCCATCGAGCGCGGGTACTTGCTTCAATACAATGTGTGCCAGCTTTGCGGCGCTGCTCCTGATAGTTTGCTGCGTCGACTTTGGCAGTGCCCGAGCGTCTCCGATCAGCGCCAAGGGGCCTGTGGCGCTGCCATTGTGCAAGACGCCCTACGTGTTATTGGCGAGGGTACTGACAGTGAAAAGATCTTATTTTTCCCTGGGTATCTTCCTTTCACCCAGGGGACTGTTTGCCGAGGCCCTCGGAGGCTGGAAATATCGCCCACGTTTGTGCTGGTGGTCCTGGGTCCACGCCTGGAGCCGCCGGCGTTCCTGGTGATGTTTTCTGGGGCGGTTCGTCCTACAAGCATGTCATCAAGGAGCTGTCAAGGGCTGGCTGGGGCTTCGTTTCTGTGGACCATCTAGGAGAAGTTATTGTTTCTGCCTCGGGGGCTGTGTCCAAGCCCTTTACCCAGACCTCTCAGGCTGGGGAGTGCAGCGCGCGTGCAGCTACAGCTCAGTGCTTGGAGGGGCCCACGACGGGCTACGCGGATTGCGAAGGGGTTGTTAGGGCCCACTCTGCTCCCAGAGCTGCGCGTTTCCCATATAAGAAGAAATATTCTGGCAGCGCTGCATTTGCACCCTCCAATGTTTGGCGCGAAGTTTGGCAAGTAAAGGCTCGCGCTGTCGAATCTGCCGACATGGCGGAGGAGGAAAATTTCACAAGCTTGGCAACGACGCGGCTGACAGAGCTGCGAAGCACGGAGCGTCTCTCCACCCGCAGGCCAGTGCGGACGAGATGGCGCAGATAGATCGAACTGTTGCCTGCGCTCGTGCGGCATGTAGAGTTGCCGCCGCGGTTTTACCCAGCTGGCCGAAGTTAGATCTCAGTGAAGTGCAGCGTACCATTCCCATGCCACCTCCTCCTTCGCTTGAGCCTCGCTTTGACCACCACTGGGAATGGCATCGCGGTATCTGGCGGTGCATGTGCTGTCTCCGTTTCCGTCGCTGCGCTGAGCGACCTTCCTTGGCAGGATGCCGCGGTGAGCCACCGCCTGCTGTGCAACTGATTTCGAATTTGGGCCACCGCATGCTTGCGTTGCAATGCAATCCGTTTGCGTCAGGTGTAAAGCCTACACTTGTCTCGGCAGAGTGCTGCGGCTTAGCCGCCTATGTGATCCCGCCAAGACTGGCCGTCATGACTGGGACCGCTGGCGGCTCATGCAGCGTGGGCACCACCCTAAGCTCAAAGGGGTTAGCGCCGAGCCCATGCCCGATATGGATTCGTGAATCCCACGGCCACATTTCTTTTTTCCCTCAGGTCACCTGTAGGGCGGTGTCGAGTGGAAAAAAATATCCCTCTCCTCCTCCTCCTCCTCCTCCTCTTCCTCCTCCCTCTCGTCCTCCTCCTCCTCTTCCTCCTCCTCCTTCTCCTCCTCCTCTTCCTCCTCTTCCTTCTCCTCCATTCCTGTTCCTTCTCAATAACTTCTCCCTGTCGCACCTCGAGGCCAGTTTTTAGGGCGGATTGGGCGTTTCGCCTGAGACGTCCTCACCATTTGTGGCTCTGATTTTTAAACATTGGCAGCAGTTTCACAGATGGAGGGCGAATGGTTTTCAACATGTGGCTCTCGCCTTAGCGCCGTGCACACTCGTTCTAAACAAATGCAATACCTTCACGGAGTGAAGATCACCCGTTTTCAAAGTGTGGCTCTCGCTTAACCCGTTTTCAAAATGTGGTTTTCGCTGTAGCGCCGCGCACATTCCTTTTGCAAAATTGCAGAAGTTTCACGGATTGAGGGCGGTTCCTCTTCAACATGTGGTTCTCGCTTTAGCGCCACGCACATTCGTCCATAACATTTGCCAGAGTTATACTGATTTCCACGATCAAAGTACCAGACATTGCGTTGTGGAAGGAGTCAGGATTTTGCGGGTGTAACAGTTACGTTGATCGCGGTGTTGCAATCCCAAGAATGGCGTTTTGGCACGACCTAGGATCGTCTAGACGAGCAATGTTTTGGCATGCTTCCGGGTCTTCAAACGGTTGCCTTCCAACGAGGCAGATCCCTCAATAGACATGAACCGTTGTAGGGGCCTGTGAAGAGGGAGTTTTGAGGGAGGGTGTATTCCAACATCGTTGATGGCTAATTATTGGGTTTACATTGGTCCTCCTCCTCCTCTTCCTCTCCTCCTCGTCAAGGGTTTGGCTCTAGCAATTGTTTGTGTTGCGGGTCCGTTCTACGTAGCGCTCGTACGCACACACGGTGGGTATCGTCGCGCGTCTTCATTATTCCGTTTCCCTGGGGCATTCGCATGTCGTGCGCACGACCTTGCGCGTTTTTGAGCTGTCATTCGCATCCGCGACAACCCAAAGCGTCTCCCAAAGACGTCAGCAATCTGAGCTTGAAGGGGTAGGAGGAGGAAGAGGAGGAGGAGGAGGAGGAGGAGGAGGAGGGGAATGAGGAGGAGGAGGAGGAGGAGCAGGAGGAGGAGGGCGTATTAGGAGGGAGGGTGGAGGACGATGGGGGGGTCGCCCCCGACCTGCGATCGACTGCGAGCCCCCCCCCCCTGTCGGATCGGTGCCGACGTTGCAGGGGTGCACGGTCCCTTTGGCGTACCTTCCTCATCTCTTCTCCTATCCCCGAAGGAAAACAAACGCCATAACCATGATTTTTTGGCGCTCCGCGCGGAGTTCTTGCAGACGCGCTGGGCCCCCCCCCCAGCGGCGCCTCCCGCGCCGCCCCTGGCGCGCCCCGCGCGCCAAGGAGGGTGGGAGGGGGCGCCTCCCGCGCCGCCCTTGGCGCGCTCCCGACGCGGATCCAAGAAATCCGCGCGGAGCGCCAAAAGTGAATGCTTATGGCGGTGGTTCTTCTTCTGCATTCTCACCCGCGGATCGCTGTGCCCTCGGGAAGACTCCTGTGGCGATGCGGCGGCGCGCGCAGGCGGAAGAATCGGCCGTCCCTCTTCCTCCTGCTCGTCTTGCTCTCGCCACTCCAGCTCCCTTCTGCTGCTGTTCGTCCTCGTCCTCCCTATCCTTCTTCGTCATTATGTGAGCTGTGAACTGTTTGCTGTCGTGTCTGCCAGACGCAGCCATCCCCCCCTTGTCCCCCTTTCGTCCTGCTCATCCTCCTGCTCATCCGCCACCCACCTCCTCCTCCTCCTCCTTCGCGCAGATCCCGTTTCGGAATGTTCATAACACGATGGGGTCTCTCAGTAATCCCAGGTCGGCTATGACACACGTCCACGGAAAGAGAACACATCAGCGCAATGTGAAGGGATGGGTGGGAGGGGTAGGATATCATACATGGCGCGAGCTCCTCTACCTTCCTATTCCTCGGCCTCCCCGATCCTCCCACTCTCCCTCTGCCTCTCCACCTCCTCATCCGCCTCGTCCTCCTCCTCCTCCTCCTCCTCCTCCTCCTCCTCCTCCTCCTCCTCCTCCTCCTCCTCCTCCTCCTCCTCCTGCTCCTGCTCCTCCTCCTCCTCCCCCTCCTCCCCCTGCTCCTCCTCCTCCTCTCCTCCTCCTCCTCCTCCTCCTCCTGCTCCTGCTCCTCTCCTCCTCCTCCTCCTCCTCCTCCTCCTCCTCCTCCTCCTCTTCCTCCTCCTCCTCCTTCTCCTCCTCCTCCCCCGCCCCTCTCCCTCTTCCTCTCCCTCCTGCCTCGCTTCATGGACCTGTGGAGCCCACAGTGCACCGGGAAGCGCTCGAGAAGCAGCACGGGTGGCAAACCCCCCCTCCAGGGGCAGCGCCCGAGGCGCCGCCCGGGGGTGTCCGGCGCCGCTCCAGGAAGTCCAGGACGATTTCTGATCTCCGCGATGGGGTGCCAAAGCAAGGGCGCCCTCGAGGGCGCGGAGTGATTCGCGCTTCGCGGTTCGGCGCCGATTTTCCTTCTCGTCCTCTTCTCCCCTGGGAGGCGGCGCGGGAGCGCGAAGTGATTCGCACTTCGCGCTCCGCGCAGCGCGAGGCGCGGAGTTGGGAGCCCTGCCAAAAAAGGGGGACCGCCAGGCATCGCAGGCGCTGGTGTGCGTGGTTCAGGGCCTGGTCCCGCCCCCCCCATGCCAGCGGGATCGGACACCTCGCCTCGGGTCTGGCCTGTCCCCCCTACAGGGGGATCTTGTCGGGTCGGGCGAAAGGGGGGGATTGGGAAAGGGGGGTTACGAAATTTGCTGCATGCAGCTGGTTTCGGCCTCACGGAGGATCCCATTCCTCGATACATAGCCGCCTCCGGCGCCGGAGGCGCCGGGAAAATCAGCTACGTGAGCTGATTCTCAAACCCCCCCTTTGCTATCCCCCCCTTTCGCCCGACCCGATCTTGGGCGAAAAATGATGAATATTCACAACATATTTCAGAGATGTCCCAAAAATACTAAAAACGGTTCCCTGACTATTCTTCTCTACTATGTTTGAACATTGCCCTTGTAGAGTGACAGGCCCGACTCAAACCTCCCCCCCGATGTGTCCCCCCCCGTGGGTGTGGGGTGATGCTGCTGTGGACTGTGGAACCGCCATCGTCGGCGTCTTCGTCGTCGTCGTCGCCTCCCTGCGGGTTTGGCGTGGTGTGTCGGTGCTTCAGGGAGCGGGAGGTCGTCGTCGTCGTCGTCGTTGCCGTCGACCCACCCCCATCCCATCTGAGGGAGGGCAGGGAGGGGGGCCGCGGGTCCCTGGGAACCGTCCCATTCGGAAGGGTGGGGGGCGCGGACTCGGAGCCCGGGAACATGCAGTCACCCCGCAGAAGAAGGATGGGCAACTTTCCCAAGGGTACCCCCTTGCATCCTTGCCCCTTCGGCCCATCCTTGGCCGCTTTCGCTGGCCGTGCCCCGCTCGCAAGGACCTTGCGAGCGGGGCGCGGCCAGCGAAAGCGGTCAAGGATGCAAGGGCCTTGGAAAGCCATGTCAACACCTGTTGTCGGCATGGCCTTCCAAAACCCTAGCATCCTTATCGTGCATCCTGCTGATGTGGTTTGACGGTATACTTGGCACGAGACAGTAAGCACGTGTTGTTGTTTCGGATGTATTCACGTTGCGCGTATCTCCACCAGCCCAGTCAGAAATGCTGCCATGAGAGCTTGCGGGAAACGGGGGGAGAGGCTGTCGGTCCTTTGGGGGCCCTCTTGGAGCTCTTTTGGAAGGTCCTGGAGTCCCCATGGGGCTCTTTTGAAGTGTCCTGGGGTCCCCTTAGGGGCCCTCTTGGCGTTCTTTTGGGGCCCTCTGGGAGGCCCTGCAAGGCGTCGATCGAAAGAGGGGGGTCCCCGATTTGCCTCCCTCCCTTTGGGGACCCTCAAAATCGCCTCTTGGGGGGCTCATGGAGCCATGTTGGAGGTCTCTTGGGCCCCTCTGGGGGCTCACTTCGGCAATCTTGGATCCACCGTGAGGCTTCAAAAGCGCATCGGACGCCAAACGGCGAGAAGGCAGTATGCATAGATTTTCTGGAGGGAGGCTCCGAGAGCACTTGGAACCGCCTTGCGGCCCTCTCTGGGCCTTTTGCCTCCCCCTAACAAAAAACATCCGAAGGGAGGAGGGATTGTGGAAGAGGAAGTCAAGAACTCGTTAGATCATCAACGCCCAGAGGGCTGGTGGGATTCAACGGCAGCGTATACGCGATCACAGCATCATAACAACAACCACTTCGAAGCCATCAGCGAGTGTGCAAGCGGGCTGACGTCAATCACAACATCACTGACAACGCCAACTGTTATAACACACGTCTGTGTTGCGTCGTGGCCAGAACAGCCACGAGCGTGTAAAGATATGTTGTTCCCACTTCTCGGCACATCACCTCACCCACGCCCTGGAGACTGACCCTCGTACTCTTCGATCGCCCCCCTTAGAGGGTACCTCCTTGCCCACTACTGGGGTTACTGGTGGACCCTCATCTGGACAGACGTGCGGGCAAACTTTCTCAGGTGGGCGGGCCCGAACCGCGTCGGCTGCAGAGTTGGACGGTCAGAGCGTATCGAATGCGAAACGCATGCTCACCATCGGTCAGGAGGTCGCGTCGGCGCGTCCCGAGGGGAACCAGCGGGGGGGAGCAGGAACGCAGAGGGGGAGGCACGGGGCGCGGCAGGAGCGGGGACGGAGTGAGAGGAGGGCATTTGGGAAGGGAAGGGGGCAAGGAGGGGATGGGGAGGGGATGGGGATGGGGATGGGCGGAGGGGGCAGGGGGAAGGGAATTGGAACGGGCGGGGGAGGGGCGGGGAAGGAGGGGGGAGCAGAGGAGGAACGCGGAGGACGGAGGACGGAGCGGCGGACGTCGGAGCAGCAGGGGTCGTGGTGAGAGCAGCTGCAGCTGCAGCGGCGGCGGCGGCAGCAGCAGGAGCAGGACGGGGCGGAACAGCCTCAGGGCCGTGAGGACGAGCAGGGCAGGAGCCGAGGAGGAGGAGGAGGAGGAGGAGGAGGAGGGAGGAGGAGGAGGAGGGAGGAGGAGGAGGAGGAGGAGGAGGAGGAGGTGAGGAGGAGGGAGCAGCATCTGCAGCGGAAGAGGTAGCGGAGGCCGCAGCGGCGGCAGCACCAGCGGCTCCCAGGAACACGGTGGCGCCTGGGCGGTTTGGGGGCGCCGGCACGCGGGCGTGTGGACGTGGACTGAGCCGAGCCGCGCCAGTTGCTGCGGGCTCGACGCCAACAGCCCAACCCCGCCGCCGATATTACTCTGTCCACCTCGGACGGCAGCTCCGATCCACCAGCCTCGAACACCTCTCCCCTCCCCCCAGATCTCGATGGCTGCCGATTCCGACTCGATTGGACTCCGGATTCCGATCTGGATCCAGATGTTTCAATGGAGGCCTGCTAGCCTGCCGGTTTCTGCCGATTCGACTTCTCTCGATGTGGCTGCCGATTTCTGCCGATCCGATTCATTTCGATCGGCGATCCGACTTACCGATTCGATGCTGGGCCCTTCTGCCCCTCCCCCCCTCACTGAACTACGCGTTGGGGCCCGATGTTTGATCTCAAGTGCCGCGGGGTCTCCTAAGCAGAGCTCAGTAGACGCTACGCCAGTTTGAAACAGGGTGCGTTTGATCGCATGGCGCGGTGATACGGTGGTTTCTGCACATCGGAGCAGCATCCATGTGAACGAAGGAGAAGGGTGACGATGACGAGGGATAATGACTTTGGAGGCTCGACCACCTCGTCCTCTTCCTTGTCGCTGTCCTCCTCCGAGGTGCAGGACACATAAGTGACATGTGCTCTGACTTCCCGGGCAATGGTGACAGCGACGTGTTCGCTGTCTCCCGTTGATATGCCTCGGTGCCCAGCCGTTCGCCCGTCCACATGTTCGCATCGACATGTCCGCTCGTCCACGTGCCTCCCGTTCCGTTGCATCGTATTATCGCGTCGCAGCCTCCTCTCCCGCACAATTTGTTATGCAGCACCATATACGTCTGGTGGCTAATGACCTGCGTCGTTCGTCATTACGGTCTCGCTCTATCTCACGTTCGATCCTGGCGGCGGGAAAGTATGCGGTAGCTCTGGCTGGCGGCTATTGCGGGTGTTCGCGTTGGATTATTCGAGCCTTGCGACGAAAACAAGTGCCTGGCGTTTCACGTAGGCGATATCTGGCGGCTCCATCGCAGTGCAGTGGAAGGTTGTTGGAGGGATGAGGTGGCAGTTGAAGAGGACGGGGAGGAGGACGAGGAGGAAGCGGAGGAGAGGAGGAGGAGGAGGAAGAGGAAGAGGAAGAGGAGGAGGAGTAGTTGAGGGATTGGGTAAAGCAGACCTCGAGGCAAGAGAATGGGAGACACGCTCAAGAGGAGGAGGAGGAGGAGGAGGAAGAGGAGGAAGAGGAGGAGGAGAAGGAGGAGGAGGAGGAGGAGGAGGGGGGGAACGAGAGAGAGAGAGAGAGAAACGGACGAAGGTGAACGCATACTACGATGGCGACCGTAGCCATTTTGGCTCGAGCTGTTTCGCTGCTGCGCTGGCAGGAGGACGTGCGGATTGAGACCATGCTGCGGGAGGACGGGGGCGCTGCCAGCCCGCGGCGCACTGCCGACGAGCGGCGCGCTGCGCGGGAGTGGACGAGCGGCGCTCCGCGGACCGAGCTGTGCAGACGCTTCGCCGAGGAGCTCGCGGCGCGCCCGCGGGACCCCCTGGCTGCCGCGGAGGCGGCGCTCGGCGCCGTGGCTGGCTGCGGCCGAGGTGGGTCGGCGCTTGACGGGCGCTGCTGCCTGCCCTTCGGGCGAAGCTTCGCGGGCGATGTTTCTCCTCCTCCTCCTCCTCCTCCTCCTCCTCAGGGTTCCCTCTTGCCCCCCCCCCCCTCCTCCTCCTCCTCCTCTCCTCCTCCTCCTCCTCCTCCCCCTCCTCCTCCTCCTCCTCCTCCTCCTCCTCCCCCTGCTCCTCCTCGTTCCTCCGCCTCCTCGCCTCGCGGGCGATGTTTCTCCCCCAATCCCCGAGTTTCGCCCAAAAAGTTTGGCCGCTCAGAAACATGGAAAAACCCTGGGATACACCCCGAGGGGGCTATTCGGACGCACCCCTATCGAGGATGGGCACCCCCCCATCGCATATCCCAGGGTTGGGCCCCAAATTTCTGGTCCATTCGGAAACCCCACGAAGCCTGGGATAGGGGTCGACGTATCCCTTGTTAAAGCTGGCTGGGCGCGCGCTGGCATGGCTCGATATACCCTGCGCAGGCACGGCGCCGTGCGCGCGGACGCCGGCGGCATCTGGGTGGCGACGGCCGGAGAAAGCGGTGCGGAGGCGAGCCCAGAGGGGCCCTCGCCTGGCAGCGCGGCTGCATGCCAGTGGCGACTCGTCGGCGATGGGCGACTTTGTTCATGGGCCTGTTTTCCACCACCACCACCATAAGTTGGAGGGGGGAAGGAGGTAGAGGATGAGGAGGAGGACGAGGAGGAGGAGGAGGAGGAGGACCCCCTCCCCCTCCCACTTATGGTAGTGGTGGTGGAAAACACGCCGACCATTCGTTGGTCTGCGAGCTGAGGGCCCAGAATTCGTCCCCGCAGCGGGGCGCTGGGAGCCGCTGCCCGCCTCTGCCGCTCTGCCCTCGGGTCTTCGCTGCGCGCGCGGCGCGCTGGTCTTCAGCCCCCTGGAGGTGAGACGTTCGGGGACGAGGAGTTTCGGGCCGGGCGAAAGGGGGGGATTGGGAAAGGGGGGGTTACGAAATTTGCTGCATGCAGCTGTTTCGGCCTCACCGAGGGGCCCATTCCTCGATACATAGCCGCCTCCGGCGCCGGGAGGCGCCGGGAAAATCAGCTACGTGAGCTGATTCTCAAACCCCCCCTTTGCTATCCCCCCCTTTCGCCCGACCCGAGAGTTGGCCGAGGCGGAGGCCGCCTCGCATGAGAGTCGCGCCTCCGAAAACATAACCCCTCGAACACTTCGTCGTGCTCTCGCGCCCCCGAGGCCACAGCCCCCTGTGAATTCCGCTGCTCCTGCGCTCCCGAGACCCTGACGCCTCGTAAATGACACCCGACTCGGGCCTCCGAGGAAAGATATCCGGAATCCTACAACCTCGCAGAGTACGCCAGCACGCCTCGTGCTGGCTGGAGGAGCATCCCACCGCGGGGGGCCCGCCCCCCCGCGCGGACGGCTCCGAGGAGGGGGGTGTTGCGGCCGTCACGGACCCGAAGGACTCGAAGGAGAGCCAGGCGGGGCCCCAGAGGTTCGAACTTCGAGCTTCGAGGCGTTTTTCCATAGGTGTTAGGCCGTGGGGGGCCGTTTGCGGGCCCCAGGACCCCCGAAATTCAATCCAGGCTGGAAATCCGTCTCCTCTCGGCGACGGCGGAGGGGAACTTTTCTCGAGCGTTGGCGAAGCGTCCTGACTTGCCTAGAGGCCCACCAAAGAATGTTCTAAGAACCAGGTTTGACTCGGTGGGGCTTCGCTGCCGGCTGCCAACTGCACCCGAGGTCGTCTGGGCGGGCCCGGTCTTGCAGGCCATGCATCCTTTTCTGCTCGGGATTGGGTGGACCGACCGAAGACGCGCATTGCCACAGCCGTTTCTGTTGGCATGTTTGAATATATATGAGGACCGAGCCGTGGTAACCGTAGTCTCAGCTAGAGTGTTTGTCCTCCTTGCAGCCTGGCATGTTGCTTTATTTGTCTTATAGTCTGCATGGCGCAACCATTGAGGCAGACGCATGTTTACTGATATATGTGTGCAGTCTCGATTATCTGTATTGTGCCCCTGTGTTCACAGCGTGGAATGCTGCATTCCCATACCCAGCGCCTTCGAGCGCTTTCGGTCATCGACTGGTGGAGGCGAAGAAAGAGCCATTGGAAAACTAGTACGTACGAAAGAAACGAATGAAGAAGAGGAACCTGGGGACAAGGGGTCGCTGGCGCGCAGGGACGGGGGCGGGGGGGAGAGGAGGGGGCGCGCAAAGTTGGCCTGGAGGCTGGTAGAAGGCGAGAAGGCTTCTGAAAGCCCTCCAAGATCCCTGCGCGGCCAGTCCCCTCGCGCCACCCTCTTGTGCGCTTTGCCAGCGGGAGACATGAGGGAAGGCCGTAACTCGAAGGTTCTACATCGTTTCCACGGATGGGCCAGTCATTTCTCAAAAAGGGGGGTACCATTGGGCTTTCCCCTGAATTGCACGACCATCATTGTCCTTTTCCTGGCTACGAACTCGAAGGATGCAAGCCAGCTCCTTGTCAAAGGTGGGCTCTTGCCTGAACGGGCTCCTTCCAAGGGGACGCTTCGTGTAGTGGACAGGACGACTTGTATGGATGTATCGGGAAGGGGTTTGGGACGGGAGGGTGTTCTGCATCATCGTTGCTGCACCTTGCGTGTGCTCTGGTCATCCTACCTATCCTCGTCACCCTTTGGACCTTTGCTCCCCCGCTCAGCCATCCCCTCTTCATCTCTCCTGTCTTCCTTCTCCTCCTCTCCCTCCTCCTCCTCCTCCTCCTCCTCGTCCCTTCTTTCTCCTCCTCCTCCTCCTCCTCCTCCTCGTCATCATCATCATCATCATTATCATCATCATCATCATCATCATCATCATCATCATCATCATCATCATCATCATCATCATCATCATCATCATCATTATCCGCCTCCTCCTCCTCCTCCTCCTCCTCCTCCTCCTCCTCCTCCTCCTCCTCCTCCGCGCGCACTCGTCATCCCCGCCCGTTGACCCCGCGCGAGCGCCCCACGCGCGCGAGAGCGCGCGGGAGGCCTCACGCCCCCCGGCCCGTGGCCGTTCTGCTGCGACCGCGAGCGCGCCCGCCCGCCCCCCCCCCCCCGAGTAAAAGAAGGAGGAGGAGGAGAGGAGGAGGGGGAGGAGGAGGAGGGAGGAGGAGGAGGGGGAGGAGGAGCAGAGGCAGGAGGAGGAGGGAGGAGGAGGTCATCCCCGCCCGCGCCCGCCCGCGCGCCCCTCCCCCATTCCGCCGCCGACGACTCGCTTCCCAGACCCCCTCGAGACATGCAGCAATCGCGACGGAGAGCTGTTCTACACGTTCGGCCTCCGGGAGCCCCTGCCGGGCCTCGGGGCCGTCGAACACAACCCAGGATGGAGGACCAGTCCCAGGAATGGGTCGAGACGTTTGGGAGCCTACGCTGTGAAAAACGCATGACGTCGGGGGATCTGGGCTTGGTGCGACTCGATTCACGGGCATCGGCTGGGGCCAGCCTGAGCGGGGCGCTGCGATCCGATCTCGATCCTATTCGGATCGGGGAAACGCAAGACCCGAGAACGCCGGATCTCCTCCTCCTCCTCCTCGTCCTCGTCCTCCTCCTCCTCCTCCTCCTCCTCCTCGTCCTCCTCCTCACCTTTTGCTGTTGTCCCTCCACGTCCCAAAACTCTTCCTGGTCTGTCCTGTTCCTCCCTGCCCCTCGTCTCCTCATCGCCCTCCTCCTGCGCTTCCTCCGTGCCCTCCCGGGGGTTGCCGACGTTTTTTTGACGAGCACGTCATGGATTCTGACGGTCCAGTTTTCGTGGGATGTCTGCAGCGGGAGCTCGCGTCAGATTTCAGATTTGGGCCTCGTCATTTTCACGATGGCCCCGGCGGGCCAACCCGAGTCCCCCGTGCCCGAGTCTTACGTCTCCCCGATCGGAGCGATTCGTTGGCGATCCGATCCATGTCTGATCTGATCAAATTTCACAACTCACTTCAGCTCAGGCCTGACAGGTTTAGCTTGTCTCTCGCATAGAAGACGCAACCGACAGCACCGAAAGATCAAACTGCGCAATTGCGCGGGGTGCCCTGGTCGCAGCAGACCAGGGCAAGGACTGGTGGATCAGGAAGCGAATGATCAGTCCCTCCCTCTTCGTCTCCGTGCACTCTTTCCGCGCCACTCCTATCCTCGGCCGCGTGGCTCCGATTCCGTCTCCTCGGGTCGGGCGAAAGGGGGGGTTTGGGAAAGGGGGGGTTACGAAATCTGCTGCATGCAGCCGGTTTCGGCCCGACCGAGGGGCCCATTCCTCGATACATGGGCGCCTCCGGCGCCGGGAGGCGCCGGGAAAATCAGCTACGTGAGCTGATTCTCAAACCCCCCCTTTGCTATCCCCCCCTTTCGCCCGACCCGATCTCCGATCCGACTCCGGCTCACCGAACTCCGATCTCCGTTCCCACCCGCGCCGCGACCACGACCCCTCTCCGATCTCCGATCTCCGATCTCCGATCACCGATCTCCGATCACCGATCTCCGATCGGACGGAACTCTGCCCACGCCGCGACCCGACCCCTCTCCGGGGCCCCCGAGCCCGCCCGCGCTGCCCCCGCAGGGGCCGGTCACCGTGGGACCGAAGGTGCGCGTTCGCTCGCTCGACCCGTCCTCCTCGCCTTGCTTCCCCCTGCTCCTCCTCGTTCTCCGCCTGCTCCCGCTCCCCTTCCTCCGCCTCCTCGCCTCGCGGGCGATGTTTCTCCCCCAATCCCCGAGCTTCGCCCGAAAAGTCTGGCCGCTCAGAAGAATGGGAAAACCCTGGGATACACCCCAAGGGGGCTATTCGGACGCACCCCTATCGAGAATGGACACCCCCCCATCGTATATCCCAGGGTTAGGCCCCAAATTTCTGGTCCATTCGGAACCCCCACGAAGCCTGGGATAGGGGTCGACATATCCCCTGTTATCGCCTCCGCCCCAGCCTCGTTCCTCGCCCCCCCCCCCCCGCCGCCGCGTCCTGCTCCAATTTGCACCTCGCGGCGGAGCAGGTTCCCAGCCCTTCGCACAGCTGACCGCCTGGGCGCATGCTCCCTTCCCTGCGGGGGGGGGGGGGGCCTCTCTCAGGAGGGGAAAAAACACACAGACACAATTAATCGGCGATTCCCAGAAAATATGGGAAAATATGGGAAGTGGGGGGAAGACAAAAGCCCAGAAAATATGTGAAAATATGGGGGACATGCTCATTTGTGTGTATTTATTTGTGTGTCATATGGGGGGGAAGACAGAAACCCAGAAAATATAGGAAAATATGGGCAATCCTTTTATTTGTGTGTATATGCTCCCTTCCCTGCGGGGGGGGGGGCCTCTCATCGGTAGTCAGGTGGCGACCCAGGCAGTCCTGCGGACACTGGCAGCCCTGGATTTGCAGGCAGTCCCGCGCAGTGGCGTCCGTGGAGTGGCAGGCTTTCCTGCTGTCGGGAGCGGAAAAGAGGGGGGGGATGACTAGGGGGGGGTGGATATCATGGCGCGGGCCATGATATTTCCCCAGACTTCATGGCGCCTCTTCTTATTTCATTACGTCCCTGGCCCCCCCGCTGGGCCCCGCACATACCGCCGGTCATGATTTGCACCCCCCCCTCTTGGACACCCCCCTCTTGGCCGCTCCCGATGCTGCTGCTGAAATGCCCCCTCTGCGCATTCACATGTTGCACGTTGCATCATCATCTTTCTCCTCCTCATAGTCGCCTACCTCTCCTCCTTTCTCCCCTCTCATCCCCCCTCCAACTCCCGCCTGGTCCTCTTCCTTCCTCATGCCTCATACGCCATACCTGTTTCCCCCTGATCCTCCATGCTCTTCCTCATCTTCATCGTGCTCGTCCTCTTTCTCATCGTCGTCCTCATCCTTCTCCTCCTCCTCCTCCTCCGTGAAATCTCCATGTGGCTCTCCTCTCCCTCTCGCCGCCTACCTGGCCGACTCGGCTCGCAGGACGCGGCAGGTGATGGGCAGCCTGCATTCTCGGTATTGTTGCGGTGATCTTGGCATCGATGCGGCGGAGAGTGTCGCGCTCGTAGAAAGCGTTCTCGTTGCGGGCAGGAGGTGGGTTTGGAGGCGAGAGATTGGGGAGGACAAGCTACATGCGCTCGCGCCACATTTGGGATCATACCCCTCCCTCCCATGCCTGGCCGCGGCGCTGATTTTTCTCGCTCCGCCAACGGGTGTCATAGCGGACCAGGAGCACCCAAAAGGACCCCATCGTCTTACGCGCAATCTGGCAAGGGGAGCTGTGCACAAGGGAGGAGGAGGTGGCGGATGAGCAGGAGGGAGGAAGCAGGTCAGAATGAGGAAGGACGAGGACGAGGTGGAATTGCAGCAGCATGGGCAGGAGGAACGGGAGGAGCATGAGGACCAGGGGAAGGCGGGGAAGGGTGACGGAAAGGAGCGACAACGACGAGGACACATTCGGATCCAGAAATGTGGCCCGCATTTTGGCGAGAGCGCCATTGAGAAGGACGGGGGCAAATCAAAGATCCTAACATTATGGCAGCGC